CACCTTTCTGTGCTGCACGTGCTCCCAGAGCCACACCCAAAAAAGTGGTGTCCGGCGTAGTCACTGCCTCCCAGTCTGATGAAGAGCGCACACTGACCGGCACACCCTCTGGGTCAGCCACAAATGAGGAAGGAGCATCTGGCTCCTTGGGAGTATCCTGGTCTGAGGAAGCCTCTGACTCTGCTGAGGTTCCCGCCCCTGCTACTGCTGCAGCGTCGGCCTCGTCTAATGAGGCTGAAAGTTCAGACTCTACATCTGGCTCACCAGCTCAGGTCCCTACTCCAGCCACTGACCAGCCCAACCGCTGGTGTGTCGACGGGCAGTTTCAAGTCTACTCCGACGCCAAGTTCCTGACTGATAAAGGAGTGATGACTCGAACACTCACCTTGGAACGACGGGTACTTACAAGGAGTCTCCTAACGATGCCGGAGATCCACAACGTCTTCACCAGGCATCGCTTAGAGTGGACAGCACGTCCTTTGGGACGATACAGCGAGGAAATTGTTCGAGAGTTCTACGCATCCTACGTAGCGACTCTCTGATCACAGATCGATAGGCGGGCTGCCCCCGCTAAACAGGCCCAACCGGAGCAGGTTCGAGTCCGTTGTGTGTAGGTTGACATTTCCCTGCCAGCCATCCACCGGTTTCTATACGGCGAGAGTGCAGATGCAACTCGGACCCCCATCACTGCCGAGTTTGACTACCACTGGCAGATAGTAAAGGATGGACAGTTCTTGTGCGAGCCAGCACTGAGAGAGACCACCAAGAGGTGGATGGCCCTGCACCTGTCAGTAGATGGAGAGGGTGCCGATTGGGTGACTGAGCCGAAGGGGGCCATCAAAGTTCCTCTGGCTGCTTGTCCGTCACTGGCTTTTCCCCACAGCTGCTCATAACATAGTTACCTAGGATCGAGAAGTGTTGATGGCGGTGATGATAGCCGGATTCGAGGTGGACTTCGCATGGCTTCTCCAGGCAGTCATGCACGAGAGGGCATTCAAGGTCACTACTACATACCCTTTCCCGTGCATGATCTTTGCCCTTTGCAGGTCCACAGGTGTGCCCATATGGCACGTAGATCAGCTTAAGACGCTGCAGGGCACTGTAGACGTCGGCCTCATAAGATATGAGGCCAATGAGTTGGCTCCACGCAGAGGGCCCCGTCCAGAGCTGCCCACACTTGCTGATGATCTTGCTGATACAGTAGCCCAGGCCCGCACAGCTACACAGGTGTCCACTGACACTACCCCGATCGAGTCTATCCGGGGTAGTAGCACAGCCCCGAGCTCCTCTCGCACAGCCCCTCTACCGACACTGGTCCCGCTTGAAAGGGTCCAAAAACTAGAGGCACAAATGGCCACTCTTCTGCATCATATCCAGCCGTGGATGCAGAGGTCGATTACTGAGTCCGAAGAGCGTCTAGAGAGGAAGATAATGCAATTTACAGAGCGGAAGATCGCTGAGGTTAACCAGCGTCTGGACGCCTTTGAGTTGAGAGTGCTAGTCCGACCAGTTCCTCCGGTGGATGTGTAGACTCTTCAGGCTGCAGTCGACAGTCTTCGTGCAGACATCGACATGATCTTAGAGGCTAGGGTGCCAGAGCCTGAGGCTCCTTCTATCGAGCCTGCTGAGGACACCGTGTTGGCAGCCCTTTTTGCTACTTCAGAAGTTCCACCACCTCCCCCTCGAGAGAGTGCCAAGAGGCGTAGGGGTCGAGTAGAGGACGAGGCGCGAGCAAGGAAGAAGGAGCACCGAGAGATGGAGGCTGCGCGGAGAGCCTCCCTTGCTGAGGAGGAGGCGAACTGCATGAGAGCATCTGAGTTAGCGGTTGGGGTGTCTAGCTCCCGCACTGTGGAGATAGCAGGAGGCACTGCTGATGGTGCGGTTGTTGCTGAAGACACCACTGAGGGTGTCCAGATTGCAGAGGACGTGGGTTACGGGGAACCGGACCCACCATCTTGCTGATCGACGACGCTTTGCGCCACAGGTTTGCTTCACCTACCACTCTTGTATTTAGATTTTTATGCATTGGGGACAATTGCATGCCTTTTTGTTGGGGGTGGGGTAAATGGATAGTGAGTGTTAGGGTGAAGTCTGAGTAGCCCAATTCACTATCCTCTTTTGGGGTTTTCTTGCCTGTGTTGTTTTTCCCCAAAAGACTGATTACTTTTTCTGTTGAACTGGCATGTTTATATCTTTTGTACATAGTTTAAGTTTGAAGCATGATGGCTAAAATGATATCCTGATAAACTGGAAAATAATGCATGACTAAGCATAGTAACTGATAATTGTGTGGCTCTAAGCATGAAACAGAGTTACACCATTGCATTACGCTAAGTCTTAATTTCGAACTAGGTGTCTGATAATCTGGTATAGTTATGAGATGTAAAGTGAGTGTGAGGAAATTTGAATAGTCCACTATTGGTACTGAGCTAGAACTTGCCTGGTTAGTCCTGCTAAAAGTAAGCTGTAATATACAATTAGGAAAGTATCATAGGCCCTTGTTCAATATAGCCCATTTCTAGCCTAAAGAAAAGAAACCAAATGAAATTTATCCTTCTTTGATCCAAATAATCTGAGCTTAAAATTTGACCTTTCTTTTTCACCCCAACTGATCTTTTCTGGGAACAATGTGTTTGCCCTGGTTCCTCCTTGGACATGTGCACCTCATCTTATGCTAAAAGCATAAGTTGAGGGTGGCTAATGCATAAACAACCTTCGTTATGACCCTAACCCGACTTTGGGTATTGTGTACCTTGACTCATGGCAAAGCCATGAGTTGAGGGTGGATACTATGAGGAATGCTCTGGAAAGTGGGGTTGAAAGAACGAAGAGAGAGAAAGAACAAAAGTAAAGTGACTCAAGAATTAGATGAAAAGAAAAGTCAAGAAAAAGAAAAATACACAAGAAATACAAGAAAGAAAAGAAGAGAGTCACTTACACAAATGAAGAAAGAAGATAAAATAGCAAGGTGAAAGAATATGAGAAACTGGGCAAGATGAAACGAGAGACAGTGGAAGGTTTAGCCGATATGTCAAGGAGGGCAAAAAGTCACTAAAGTATACTAAAATATACCTTACCTGACCCCGAGCCTATGTTACTAGCTAACAAAGTCCTATCGTGATCCTAAGGATTGTATAGCGAACTTAAGGCAGTGAAAATAAGGGCAAGCTTATGGCAAAAGGTATGAATGAGTGTGACTTTGTTCTGAGAGTGAGTGTTGAAAAGTAATCCTTATACTCAAACTGAAATCATTGTGTGAAAAAGGAGGATTTTGTTTTAAAGTGAGGACACTAGTTACAATACCAGAATTGTTAGCACCGCGGTGAGAAATTGAAGAGGATAGGTGTTAGTGCGTGGTGAGTCTGTGTCATGTTCTGATCCCACAAAATTCAAGCCTAACAATGATAGCATACATAGATGTGATGAGATTAATCGGGATTGATAGCCAAATGATTGCAAAGGATAGAACATGGATACTATTGTACAAAGATTGTGTAGTGAGTCATAGTGCGTCGCTTGAGGACAAACAACGAGTTTAAGTTGAGGGTGTTGATATACCATGGTTTCATGGTATTATTAATACTTTTTCCTTAAGTTTAGTGTGTCCAAAAGCCTTTTTGTGCTAATTTTTATATAAGTTTCTCTTTGTTTTGCAGGAAATCTGTACAAAGCTGAATGCGGACATTTTGAGCGAAGAATTGCAGAAGAGACCACCTACGAAGCTTATAACGGTCCGTCATGCTTGTGACGGTCCGTGGGTGGCAGCGTAGTGCAACTGCTGAAGGAAGATGGGGAAGTCTGACCAAGTGTGGGATTACAAAGCTTGTGACGGTCCGTCGTGGCTATGACGGTCCGACCTGCAGGTTCGTCGTGAAGTTCAGAGAAGTGATCCCAGCACCCAGATTCCAAGAGTTGAAGTGTTTTGGAACGAGACCCTCGACGGACCGTTGTGCCTATGACGGTCCGTCATACTTGTCGTCGAGGGAAATGAAGATAGCAGCAGAGAAATTGCACAAGTATGGGACGATAGAGTCCATGACGGTCCGTCGTGACCACGACGGTCCATCGACCCAACCGCGTTTTGGCAGATTTCCAGCAATTAGAATCCTTGTTTAATTAGGTTTTTGTTTTTTTATAAATAGTTTGAAAAACCTCGTTTTTGAGGTTAGACTCCGTATTGTTAGACTCTATGAGATTAGACATCAGATTTTTAGACTTTGTGTATTAGTGTTGGATTTTGAGATTCTTGCAAGTGATTTTTGGATATTAATCAAGAAAACTTTGGATTTTATTCTTTCTCATTGAAGTAAGTACATGAATTCGTATTTAATATATTTGAATATTGTGTTTATGGCTATGAGTAACTAAACTCCATAACTAGGGTTGTGGGAACCATAGGCAAATAATGAGATAAAACCAAACAAAAATAACAATTCTAGATTAGTGTCTTGCATGTATTAATAATTCTTTCGCTTAAAAGTCTTTTTAACGGATGGCCAACGTTAGAACTCTCCTTAATGCTACTTGCCGGACCAAGGAGGTAGATAATAGAAAAAGAATTATTAACATAGATTTAGTGTATACTATCTAATAGGCTAGTATTGATTGGTACGCGGTAATAACTTAGTCAAATATCGAATACGATGCTTAATATGAGGTAAGGATAAGGGTTAGGATAGCAACACACGTAGCCGGACCAAGGTACAGAGTGAGATTTTCTAGATGCCGGACCAAGGATTTAAAAATACATAACTTATCACTTTGCATGCAAGATACTAGGAAAGAATTGTTATAGTTGGAATTATCAAGTTATGAACCTGTGGGGAACACATAAACCCTAGTTACTTTGATTAATTGATTAAAACCCAACATTCAAAAGTTGTTAAGTGTCGCTGTCAAGTTCGTTATTTATTTTCACTCAATTAGAAATAGAAACCCCCCTTTATTGTTTTTACTTTCCAAGGAAGTCATTGACCAAACAATAGTAATAACAGGTTGAAGTTAAGTCTAGACTATTTTCCTTATGGGAACGATCCCAACCTCACTAGTTGGGTTATTTACTTGACACGACCGCTTTACTTCTTATTTGAGAAGTAAGTTTGAGCGTATCATGGATCCAATTGGGAAGACATTTATGTAGGAAGTATTGCTAGAATGGAGGCCTCAATATTGTGATAAATGCCAGAAGATAGGGCATCTATGTCAAGTGGAGTCTGAACCAAAAGAAGAGATACCAAAAAGAAGAAGGCCTTGGAAAAAAGTAACTCAAACTTGGTAGTATAAAGGTCCAATTTCACAGAATACTGAGCAAGAGAAGATAGATGAACAAAGACAAGAGAACAATCCTAGTCCACAGAAGAATAAGCAGGAGGAAGAACAGGAGATAGGAAAGAAACAAGATCAACAAACACCAAGAAGTAATGATGAGCAGTCTTATGTAAATAGACAGTTGGAATTGAGTTTGGCTAACTTTCCTATGTTGAAAGCTATACCAACAAGGAATGGTTTTGAGAGTCTCATGCATAACAAATTGGCTTCACTATCTGTTGATAGAGGTGGAGCATCAAAGACTTGTTGATAAAGTGGTTTTTTGGAATGTGAGGGGTATGAATAAAAGGTATAAGCAGAAGGACATTAAGCTGCCGTTACAAAAGAATAAAGTTACTTTGGCAGGGTTAATTGAAACAAGAGTTAAAGAGAAAAATATGAAAACAATTCTTAAAGGGATAGCACCAGAGTGGAAGATGTTACATAATTATACTGATAGTCCTAATGGAAGAATTTGGTTGGTATGGGATGATAATTGGTATGTGATCAAGATGATTAATAGCTCAGCTCAACTTCTGCATTGTCAGGTTAATGAAAGAAGTAAAGATTATCAGTTTATATTGATTGTGGTGTATGGATTTAATACAGTTGAACAGAGGAAAAGTTTGTGGCAAGAAATGAATACAATATCAAAAGGTATTTCTCAACCTTGGCTCATAGTAGGGGATTTTAATGTTATTCTTTATACTAAGGATAGGTTAGATGGAGTTCCTGTTACGAATAATGAGATAAAAGATTTTGGTGAATGTGTGAGAGATATGGAGGTTACTGAATTGCAATGCAAAGGCAACTACTATACCTGGACTAACAAGCAGTGTGGGAGGGATAGAATATCAAGTAGAATTGATAGAGCATTTGGAAATGATGAATGGATGGATAAATGGGGACATGTTATTGTAGAATATGGGAATCCAAGCATATCTGATCATAGCTCTATGATGGTTTTGCGACAAAAAACTCAGCAACATGGGAAAGTCAGTTTTAAGTTTTTTAATGTATGGACTGAACATGAGATATTTATTGAAATGGTGGAGGTTGTATGGAAAAAAGGCTATGGAAATATCATAATGAAGCAAGTTTGGTGTAAATTGATTGACCTTCAGCATATGCTAAAACAGTTGAATAGAAAAGAGTTTAAATATATTGGGAAGCAGATTGAGATGGCTAGATTGGAGATTGCAAAAGTCCAGGATCAACTAAATGAGAAAGCTACTGATGAGCTAGTTGTGATGGAAAAAGAGTTACTAATCAAGATTGAAAAATGGTCAATGATAGAAGAAAGTGCTTTGAGGCAGAAGGCAAGGATAAAATGGATTCAATTAGGGGATGCAAATAATAAGTTTTTCAGCTTAGTTATAAAGGATAGAACTCAAAAGAAACAAATAAGAAATATTATGTCTTTGAATGGTAAGATGTTATATGATCCACATGAAATTCAGGATGAGTTTGTGATGTTCTATAAGAGTCTTATGGGAACTTCAGCAGGCAAGCTACCAGCCATTAATGCTTAAGTGATGAAAAGAGGGCCTACTTTGACAAAGCAGCAGAGGGTACAATTGTGTGCTGCAGTAACAAAACAAGAGATTTATGATGGTTTGAAATCCATAGGGAATGATAAGGCACCAGGTATAGATGGTTATAATGCTTTCTTTTTTAAACATACTTGGCAGATCATTAAAAGGGATATCATTGAGGCTGTTCAGTGTTTTTTCACAACTGGCAAGCTATACAAAGCATTCAATTGTACTCTAGTGTCTCTCATTCCAAAAGTTCAGAATCCTAAAACTGTGAAAGAATAACGTCCAATAGCTTGTTGTACTGTGGTATATAAGATCATCTCCAAAGTGCTAACTAATAGACTACATGGAGTGACTCAGAGTATCATTTGTGATAGCCAGGCAGGGTTTATTCCAGGAAGAAAGATTTCTGATAATATAGTGCTTGCTCATGAGCTGGTTGAAGCTTATACTAGGAAGCATATTTATCCTAGATGCATGTTGAAAATTGACTTACAGAAGTCTTATGATTCAGTGGAATGGGGATTCTTGGAGCAAGTTGTTTTATCGAAAAATTGATTTCGAAAAGAGTTTGTTTTATTTTCGACTTTTTAGGAGTCGCCACTTAATTTTGAGAAAATTAAGAAAACTTTGTTTTCAAAAGACTTAACAGAAAAATCAATTGAAAAATGTTTAAGGGTTCGGGATTCCTATTAGCGTCTTAGGAAGGTTTCGAAAAAGCACCTAAGACGCTCCGCTAACTTACGATTTTTCGACGATTAACTTATTTGACTATTTTATTTTTTTGTTATTCTCAAGATTTTCCATCTAGGCAAACTTTAAAATAATTACTTTGCAAATTTCATTTTTAAGGTTAAGGCACTTTATATTCAAACAAACTTGTAGAATTTAAAACTTTTTTGAACTTAGGAAAGTCTTAGACGAATTTACGAGTTGAAAACATTTATCACTTTCAAGGCATAGTTCTAAACTAGATAAAAGAGAAAAGCGTTTCGAAGGGGGTTTGGAGTTTTCTAGTCCTAACACTAACAATACTTTAAACAAACACACGTAAGCAAGTAATAAGGAGAGAGAGAGAGAGAGAGAGATTTGGGTCCAACTTCGGTTCTGTTCGCCTTGAACGAATGTTGGACCCACCTGCTTTTGGGTTTTTAACCCATTTTGTACCTGTCCTAATCTAAACATACAAACATAACTACAAGAAAAATAAAAACTACAAGGGCTTATGCCCATTACAAATAAAAATACGAAATAAATAATAAAAAAAATAAAAATAAAAAAAAGGATTTTCCAATCTCTCTTCTTCAAGCTCCTTCAATTCTTCAACCTAGTTCAATTTCGAGGATCTGTACGCCGGATTTTATGACTTCGACTCGGTGGAAAAGGATTTAGAGTCTTTATGGCTCTTTCGAAATGCGAGGATGAACGTTGGAGCTCGGGGTGAACCCTCCCAACAAATTTCACACATAACACAGAAAATGGCGAAATATATTAGCAAATATTCTCCAAAATGCTTACAATCAATTTAAAACCAAAGCTACATAATCAGAATACTAAACTAACATTATGCCACATTTTATTAGATATACTCCCCTTTTACCGACCTCAACAGTAGCTTTAGAATACATTTGGTAACTTAACAGATGCCTTCAAGAGGGCCAACAATTTAACTAAATCTTGGCAATATTAAAAGCAGAAACTGCATCAATACAAACAATTCAAATGCCCAAGAACATTATGCAATTCAAATTACTAAACATATGAAGCATCCGAAACCCGTTCATTACTAAATAGAGGCGACAATGTGAAACGGAAACAAGGAAAGATTATACTTGAACATACTAAAGCATTTGAACAAGACGAAGACGCAACACATAAACTTTGAAACAGTCAAACGTCAAAGAGTAAATCCAGATTTAGACATCGCAATTCATTCTTTCAACTTGAGATGAAAGAATGAGGGATGCGACATCGAGTGTTTAGCACTCATTCAAACTCAACTACATATAAATAAAGACATACTCGATAAGAAGAAGAAGATGGAGTCATACTCGTTAAAGTCTATGGACTTCTAAACTATCGCCAACGACGTATTCGTTTAAACAGGCTAACTAAACACCTGAGTTGTATATGCCATTTAAACAAACAACAGGTTACAGCAAGCATGCCCAGTGATGTCAACCCCAATAGATAAGACTTGAACAAGGAAGAAGAGCCAAAACGAGAACAACTTCAGGGAGTAGGGAGTAAAAGGAGAAGCCTAGACTGCCTATTAACGACATTTCGGACAAGGACCATTCAAAATTTTACATCCCCGCCCCCGAAACTGAAACGCATTGACTCAAACTCACAGCGAAGGCTAACAATGAACTTCAGAGGAGAAGTAAGAAACGACGATAAACCTCTGAAGACACATACATTTCATACCAAAATGTTATCAAATGAGCGGCGAGTAACAACCGGCTCGACATAGGTACGAAAGGAGGAAATCGAGTCTTGAAGAAACAAGTGAAAACGTGAGTACGTCCAACTCAACACAACAACAAAGAAAGAAACAGAACACTTGCCAGAAACATACAAGGACAGGCCATGTATTCAATCGTTCGAATGTTCCAACATGCTTGACACACAAAAACAACGAAAGCAGCGGACCAACGGACTAAATAAACAGCATCGCAACCAGCAATAGACACACACTAAAGCAATAGAGTAAATATACTTAAACCAAGAACAAACGCCAAACTTCCATATAGGAAGAAACAACAAGTTCAGAAAAGTTAATCAAAACTTCTTCAGCAGCCACGGCATAAAACTAACGAGAACAAACCCAACAAAGCAATGAGCGAGAGAAAAGACCATTTAGAGATGAAAGAAAACGAGAAGATAGTGTAGAGTGGAGGGGTTACCTGTTGACGAGCAGCGACACTGAGAACAAACGAGCAAAACACGAACGAACTTCCACCCTTAGACGCACCAACACATGGCGAGAACAGCGCCAGAAACTTTCGATCTCTTGAAAGTCTTCTTCTTACACCCTCGCGTAATGTGTAAGATTTCTACCTTCGATTACGTTCTCGGAAACGGAACAAGAAAAACGAACAGAATACTCTCTCAAAATTCGTATCAAATCTTCATGATAGAACTCTCCGAAATTCCAAAAAAAAAATTCCAACCCCTTTCACCGAACGAGACCCTGTTTATATAGAAGAAAATTTCGGGTTCTCAAGGGAGGGGCCTGGCAGGTGGGTTTTTGGCCTATTTGCTAATTTGGAATTCAAAAACACCAAAATCTTATCCGAAATTTTGGAATATTCCTCGATTCCAAATCATCCAAACGGCTTTGAGGCGAGGTGGAGGGTCGAGATGAGCTCGTGGTACTAGCGAGCTTCGTGGCGCAAATCCGCATCGCAAGGATGGATTCTTGCATCATTTTGCGCACTGCAGGGACGTACGATGAGGACAGGGTTGCAGGGCTGTTGTAATACTTTGCTCATGCGCTAATGGAGAGAGGAGGGGAGAGAGGGCGTGGGAGTTTTGGTTGAGAGAGCGAGAACGTGAGGGGGACGCGAGGGAGAGAGACACGAAGGAAACATTTTTGCGTACGTTGTTTCTGGGAAATCTTGTTTTGCTGTTTTGGGAATCGTTTGGGGGGGGAAGAAGGAAGGGGGGAGGCGGGTTAAAACGGGTTTGGGTTGGGGGTTGAATGGGTTGGGTCGGGGGTTAAATGGGTTGGGTCGGGTAGGAGATTTAAGTTAGTGGGCTGGGAGCTTGGGCTGAAATTGGGAGAGAAAGAATGGGCCGCCGGATTAGTAATAGAAATGGGATGGATGTTGGGCCTAAGTAGGTAAAGGAATGGGCTGGGTACAAAATGGGTGTCAACAACTGTCCCTCATTTTTCTTGGGTTGATGCAAGCAACTCAAGGAAAATGAAATTGACCGAACCAATTTTAACCAGCCCCATTCATTTTCTAAAGGAAGAATTTGATAAAGAGTTTAGGAATTATGGCCGAACCCTTGAAAATGGTTCTCCTACATATCTCAGGCTATATGAGAATTCAGGCCACTTGTAGTTTGATAAGCTTGATTTACCGCATATTTTGAAAGAATAAAAAAGCCACTTCGATACCGGATTATGAAGGTATCAAAATGCTCGAGAATAGAATTCGAGAGCAAATGTTGGAATGCAGCAAGCTTTCAACATTGAATCCGCCTACATATCCTTAAGCCTTCGGAATTAGGCTGTGTGTAGTTCGACTCAATCGATGGAAAAGGAAACCTATTATGTTAGATAGCCTTCGGTTTTGGACAAGTGACAAATTAAACGAGCATAAAAAGGAGGCTTGTAACCTCTTAGCTATGAATGTGGAGATCTTCACATCCATTGGTAAGAACTTACACGGACATAATTTCCAAAGCTCTTGGCGAGTTGTCACTCAGATTGGAAACTTGCTTCCGTAGATTGAAACTTCCGGATGCGAGACTGAAACTGACAGAACTTAAAGAAAACCCGCATGCTTTGAGAGGGGTGGTTCGATTGTGGTGGAAGTCGCTCCTCTTCTCGCGTCCTAAGAGTTTGACATTCCTCTTTGGATTGTGTCCCAGTTCGTTGCTAAGAGAAAGTTCCACGTTGTGCTGCATCCTTTTTGATGTCGTCCGCACCTGAGGTTTTTGGAGAATTCATCCTCTTGGATGCTCTCGACAAAGACTGAGATAAAACTCGTCAGCTTAAAAATGCAATTAGGGTGGGAGACAGTGTCTTTTTACCGTGCTGACACTTCATTGTTCTCCTCAAATCGACGTCGACTCGATCGGTCTGGCGTCCAGCAAATAAAGCCTATGCCTTGTGTTTTGTAATATCATCTTCAATGTATTCTATACTTGATGTCGAAACAAATAAATAAATGCTGATGCGATATTGATGTTTCTTTTGTTGTCATCTTCGATGCTCTCCTTGATGTTTTCTGTTATCAAAATAAGGAATGCGACTGAGGCCGATGGATAAATATTGCTTTTTCTTTATCCGTGTGTGTCCTCTTGCGGGGCATGAATATCTTCTCGCGATACGTAAATTCCTGCGAGATATGAATCTTCTCGCGATGCATAACTTTCAGCGAGGAATAAAATCTTCTCGCGATGTGCAAATTTTGACGAGGCATGAATTCTTCTCGTCGTGCATAATTGTTGACTCGCAATGCATGATTTTTGCAATGCATGACTTTTCCATGTTGCTTGATTTTCAACGAGGCATGGATCCTTCTCGCGATGCACAAATTCCAGCGAGGCATAAATTCTTCTCGCGATGTATAAATTTTGACGAGGCATGACATCTTCTCGTCGTGTCTAAATTTCAGCGAGGCATAAAATCTTGTCGCGATATATAATTTTTGACGAGGCATGAAATCTTCTCGTCGTGCATGCTTGTTGACTCGCAATGCATGATTTCCGCGATGCATGACTTTTCCGCGATTGCATGATTGTCAATGAGGCATGGATCCTTCAGCAGTATATGACTTCCGCGATGCATGATTCCGCGATGCATGATTTTCTGCGATGCATGATTTTTGCAATGCATGATTCCGCGATACATGATTCTTC